ATATACATATATATATATAAATATATATATCTATTTATATATATATATATATGTATATTATATATTTTGGTATCATAAACATATCTTTAGGAACAGCTAACCAAAGCGCAAGTAGGTTTATCCGTTATTATACAAGCTTGTTAATATTGGTCACACATATAAATAACTTGCAATCAATATCAACTATGCGTACGTACATACAGTCCTACAAATCTACAAATACAATATATTGCTTACCTTGGTTGTCCAACTTCTCGCTATGCATACGTACATACAGTCCTACAAATACATTCTATTGCTTACCTTGGTTGTCCAACTTCTGCTTTTTCGGACCGTTTGATCCCCCTTCCCCTATTTCAGTATCTGTCTGTGTTCGTTTGGTGCCTTGAATGCTTTTAGACACCGCATCATCCACAGTAACAGCATCCTCCACTGTATTTTCACTCATCGGATCACTATTGGGCTTCGCTGTGTCTATACACGTCGTTGTATCTTCTGTTGTAGATAATGTTGTGTCGCTCTCGTCTGGCTTTGTATCTGTATGTGTAGGGCTTTCTGATACCTTTGCTTGAGATAAAATAGAGCGTACCTTTGACTCCAGTTCATGGTACGGTATACGATAACATGACGGATGTGTCACTCTCAGCGCCCGCAGAGTACAACGTACACAACAGCCTAATGACAACAAGGCATTTGTTCGGGATATGTTTCGTTCAACATGAGGTAAGTAGAATTCACTCATGTTATATTCTATGTGTTTGTGTGTGTGGTATTGATTGTGCAGTGGTCGAAAATGTACTGATATTGGAGTTAGGGATGCTGTTGTTTCGTATTTTATATATAAGATAAGGTCGTATGCGAAATGTTAGTCTTAAAAAATTGAATATAAAACACGACCATAGAGCCATGTGTACCCGCCAAAACCTGCACCAATGGGATGTAATAAGTGACATAATAGTATTTTTTGCCGGTTCTAATTATAGAATAAGCCAATCAATTTGGACAGCGGTTTTAGCTTTTATAGCAACAACCACATAAATAAAGACATATTCATTTTTTAACACCAACAAGGCAACAACCTCTTCGAAAGTGAATAGGCTTGCTCTTCTGGTGGACTTGTATACAATTGTGTAACGAGTCCTCAACACAAATATATATAGTGATTGTTCACAAAACGGCACACTACATGATACCGTATGTAATATCAATAGATTAATACTTACAATACATCGTTGTACGTTCCTATACATAAGACTTTTTTTGCCAACAACACCACAATTCTTTTCAGACATAATGTCCTCTTGGGGAGATGCAGTGGACGACGACGAGAAGTTCGATCCTTCAATTACACCAGACTTTGGCAAAGACACGCCTGAATCTTCCAAACCGACCACCCCAGTCACTGCCACTAAATTTGACTTCAGCAACAGTGACGATGACTTCAGCAACAGTGACGAGAAAAGCAAGGATGGTGGGGAAATAAGGGATAATAAGGAAGAACACGCGCATGCGAATGTCAAGGAGATTGGAGAGGGATTGGAGAAGAGCCGTATCCATGACGAAGAAAGACGAGCCAGTGGTGAAGGCCACCATATCAGTCTGCGAGACAAGAATCTGGTAAAAGGGTGCTGTGCATTTATTAACTTCTTGTATTGTATTTGATTGTATCTATCCTTTTTGTGCACAGAGTACGTACACAGTACCTTCTTGTTTATGTATGTATTAATGTGTGCATATGACTTGTTATTTCTGTGCACTTGGATGGTTTCATGAAGTGTTATTATCGGTGCATCTCATATATTGTTTTGATCTTAATATCGAGCCCATTTCAAGCAACATACATTATATATTCATTTTTACGTATACATATAAGTTT